GTGTCAAATTGTTCTGTGTGTTTGTGAGTGCCAGGTGTGATTCACATGGGGGGGATTGGGCACATAAGGGGGGGGGACAAATCTAGNAAATTAGTTCTGTAGCGTAATGCATACCGCTGGTACAGGAAGTGGAGCCATACTTTATATCAAAGTTTTATGTTTTAATGGGCCAATGAGTAAAGCATAAGTTATTAAAACCTCTTAACCCTCAAGCCTGTTTTTCAGGTTTCAGGCTTGAAAATGACATTCCCAGAACAAATGACCATATCTTCCCTTCTAAAAGGGTTAAATTAATAATCTTTTTTCTCAAAGTAATGATAAACCTGTGAGTTGGATGTAGAAAAGTCAGAATCAATATAGATGTTTTTTATTTTAAAGACAATTCAGATTGAACATGGTAAAAAACTGTAAATTATAGTGTCCGTCCAAAAAATATTTTTTTACTTATAGTGAAAAGTAAAATAACCTTAGATTATGGGTTAGTAGACTAAAAGCTTTAGGAATCCAAAGTACAACATATAATACGTACCCTGTATCAAGATTGATGCAAAACAAGAGATATTTGACCTTTTCTAGACAGATTTAGCAAAGAAAACCTCTTCTGGGGCCATTTGGGTGGATTTTCCTTATCTCTGGCCCCCCTTCTTCGATTTTGACATGTGACATCTTTTTCTGACCGTTAGTTAGAGCCAATAGAATCCAAGAGAAATCGTCCCGCACACACTCATGTTAAAAAAAAAAGATGGCGTCTTTGCGCATTCAATCTTGCTACAGAGCGTAAGAATGGCCTGCTCTACTATTTTAAAACGGAATTGCAGTTTTATTGCTTATAGATTATCAGAACATTTCAAAGGGGATACAGCCACATTGGATATTAACCTATGGATTAACTACATCATCGTTGTTATCGTTTTAATGCCATTGAATACCAGTTTTGACCAGACAAATCCAAGGTAAGCCATGTTAGCGTTGTGGGCTACCTAGCGCTACTTTCAATCTTTTTATTTCTAAACAAAAAAAAAACATAAAAGACTATTGTCATAACCCTGCAAACAATTCCATGACGATCAAGAACGGAGAGGAAGATTGCCCCTATTTTGATGTAAGGTAGAATTTTTAATGTTTAAAATAATATTTCAACCAAAAACCACATGCATTTGTGCTAGTGTGAGACTGATTAAAATGAAATTTAAACAAAAAATGCATGTGCTTGGGAAGTAGTGAGTGTACGACTGGATAAATGAGACTTGGATTACAGTACATGAGATGGTTGTGTAGTAGTTGAACGCAGTTCCCCTTTACTTCAATTCATCAAGACTTGATGTTTTTGATGATTCTTTCACTGCGGTGGCATGCGAGAAATATGTTTTCTTCATGAAATCAACTTAACACATTTTGAGAAATTGATATACAAATGCAAATTTTGCGTGTAAAGTATTACTTTAATCTGCTGGTGCTCTCATTGTAACTGACTATGGAAAACAGTATCATGTGGTTTCCTAAAACGTAGTGTAAGTAATGCAATGCCTATAGGGTCTGGCTGTTAGCTCATCCATAATAAAGAGTCCAGGCATGTTCAAAGCGAGGCCTGGATCGTCTTACCGCTCCACTGCTCCGTCACACATGCACTCACACCTGAGGTTAACTATCCGAGAGGCTTTGATGAATTTCTGTGTTTGTGTGCTCGTGTGGTTAAATGGATGATTTGTTTGCTTTGAACTTGTCTTCATTAAGTCAAAGCCAAAAACCACAATGACCCTCATACACACATACACACAATGCTGACACACATATAAAACAGTTCTGATTTGTTGAATTCAAGTAAAAATGAGGTGCCTCTCGAGGAACACTGCGATACAACAGTGATTTGGGATAAATGTTGTAAGGGCGGAAAAAGGATGATGAGGAAGGAGGCTGTCAGGATGCCTTGGCGATGATGAGGATGCTCATAAGGAAGACCATGACGAAGAAGATCCACATGAAAAACCTATCCATCACCTTGGCGACTTTCTTCCACTCTGCAGCCTTGACACAAGTAGCTCTCTGCTCGCGGAAGCAGTTGGCGATGTACTGGATGTTCTTCACCAACTGATGATGAAACAGATAAGAGAAAGCAATTAAAGAAACTTTAGAAGAAGAGGAGTAATCAGATAAGAGAGGAAATGGAGAAGCACCTGTTTATGTTGGAGGCAGGGGCAGCAGCAGGGGCAGGCCGGGACTTTCTCTGGGGGATAGAGGAGCTGCTCCTTCAGCCCTCCGTTCAGCTGCTGGAGGTTTTGTGGACGAGGAGAAGCCTGGTATTCCAGCTCGTCCCTCCTGATGTGGTGGTAGCGCTGTGGTGTCTTCCCCTCGCCCCTCTCTAATCCGGATGTATGGTTGTTGTGGTTGTTATAATGGTGACGGCTATTGTTGGCATTGCCGTTCGCTTGTATTTTGTGATGCTTGTTGGGGTGAGGCATGGCGTGGCCGTTGCTGTACTGGTGCCGATCGCTGTCGTCATGGCAGTCGTGGAGATGGTCATCGCTGGCGGGCTCCTCGGGGTACAGCGGGGTCCTCTCACTCGCTGGAGTCGTGCAGTTCTCCCCCACCTCGTACACAAAGAAGATTTTGGACATGTAGTCTATGATGAGCACCTTTGCCCAGTGAGGAACAGGCTTGGCCTCAGCACCACAGAAATGAATGTTCATGATGAAGATGGTGAGAGAGGTGGAGGCTGTGATCATAGTCATGGTGGCGATGTAGTACTTTCCTAGAGGAGAGGATAAAGAAAGGAAACATTTATGAAGTGGAAATGCAACCCATACAAAACAGATAAATTACCTTATTTGCAGACCGGGTTAAACAATGACATACAGCTTGCTTATTTCATCAGCAATTATCTGCTATGGAAATCTGTTGTCTCATCTTTAAACATAGATATATCAGCCTAATTAACAGCAAATTCAAAATTGCATAATTAAGTTTTACATAGAAGCCCATTTCGACCAGGAAAAGAAAAAGGATAAAAAAAGAAAATGTTGTTCTCATGACAATGCAACATCATGCAATATTTAGCAGAAATTACAACATGATAAGTCAAAAGTGTGACTTACTCAGTCATAATTATAAGATACAAAGTAAGAATGATGAGACACTAAGACAAAATGTATTCTTACAATGCAAAAGATAATGAGATATGAAGTCCAAATAATTGGATATTGAGTAATCTGTGACTTGGTAATAATATATCAAAATATTCTACCAATATTGACTTAAAAAAACAAACATTTAATCTTCTATATTAATTAATAATATATAATGAAATGAAGAGACTATAATTCTCACCTATATAGGGCATGCTCTCTGCAGGTGGCATGCTTTCAGCCACCAACAACTGGAACACAGTGAGCGCCAGCAGCACCGTCACCCCGAGGGAAACCTTCTCCCCCGAGTCCGCCGGCAGGTAGAAGCCCAGCGGGGCCAGGAAGGAGATGAGGAAGCAGGGCAGGAGCAGGTTGAAGATGTAGAAAGAGGAGCGGCGCTTCAGGAGCAGAGTGTAGGTGATATCTGTGTAGGGGTCGGAGCAGCAGCCGTACATCATGACGTTCCTCACTGCCGGCATGCCGTGACACTCCCACTCCACGTTCTCCACAAAGTCAGACAGGTCACCACTGTCCATCCCCAAACTGATGTCCACCTGCGTAGAGGACACGCATTGTGGATATATGTACATTTAGAGAAGCTAACTAACAACCATGACCCCTTAGTAATATAGTGTAAAAACAAGAGGTTATTCACTCCTAATGTATCTAACCTTGTCAAGGTCAGAGGAACTGGAGCCAATAACAGTCTAGAGCAAAAGGATGTTACATGATCGGTACACACTACCGTATAAAGTATTTACGGTTTACATTTCCTCACAACATCAGAAAACTGATACATCAGAAGAAAAATGCAAATCCCACAAAAAATCATCCTATTTTCCTTTTTGCTACTTAAAATGTTGAATATCCTAAATCGGTAAAAAGAATAGTCATGTCATCATCGAGTTGAATCATCATTTTTATGCATTTAGATCATTCTTAATAAAAGACGTTCTTTAATCCGAAATAATAACTGATTCAAAGAAGAAAGAAGGTCCTTGTCTCAGTCAGCGCCCCTACTCAAACTCACCTGGTTGCCATTGTAGGTCCAGGAGCCGAAGGTGAGTTTGCACTGCTGCCAGTCGAAGGGGAAGTAGGAGACGTCCACCACACATGTGCTCTTTGTGATTGCAGGAGAGTCCCAGATGATCTCTCCGTTATACCGCAGCTTTACATTAGTGCTTGATGCACTTGACTCCTCATCTGCCCTACACAGACATACAGAGACAATGTAGTCAGATATACATAAATCTGCATTATGAGTGCACAACAACATTTATCTTTACTGACTTGTTGTAGAGGACGATGTCCGGCTTCCAAACCAGATCGCTGGGTATGTTTATCATCTCAAGGTCATCATAGTCCTCCTTGTCCCACTTCAGGTAGGCGTCATGCCACACCAGCCTGATCCACAGGTATGTGGTTAACACCTGGTTCCTCTCATCCTACACACACATATAAAACATTTTGAAAGAGAGAGGGGTAACATTGAAAAGGGATTTTCCTTGAAAAAAAAAATTTACAGACTGGATGCTGCCAATTCTTGCTCTATTGGACATATTCAAGTAATCAAAGTTTAAACCATACAATTACATGTGTAGGAAAGGTCAGAATTAAAAGATAAAGTTAGACATACATTACAAGTAACATTAGAAAGAAAGACATAGATAAAGTATAACAATTGAAAAGTAAGTTACAAAATAATCCATCACTTTGCACAAATGCAAACAGGAAAGGAAAATTAGATACTGTATGTAAGTAAATATCAATTAAGCAATCTAAACATACATGAAAAAGAGGAATTGTGTGTGATTGACAAAATAAATCAAATGTATAGAAGGGTACTGCACATAGGTTAAAGTTAAGTGTAAGCAATAATCCAGTATTGCTTAATATTCAACACTGGACTCCAGTGGTCTCAGGAAAACAAGACTGAAGGCAGTACTGTTAATACAAACAGTATGAACACATACATTTGCATATAGATAAGTTTCCAGCTCTTATCCATGAGGAACACTCCATGGATTCACATGTCAAAGTCAATTAATTAGTCGCAGGGAGGATTGTGAAAACCGTCTCCTTCTTCTCTCTGAAGGAGCTTGGTCAAAGAGTGATCAAGTGACAACACCCGTGTATCTCAGCTCAGTAACAGGGAATGCAGATATGTAACTGAAAGCTTGAGTTACAAACTAGGGCTGTGGAAACACACCATGTTAACAAAACACACTTTAGAGGTGCATGGCTTTAGTCCGAAAACCAATGTTTTTAGATTATCTCTGCTGAATTACTTCAGTTTTTTGCCATCTTTCTTTCGCCTACTTTATGAATCGCAGTCTTGAAACAATGGAGTATAATTTGAAGACTTGGTTGCATTGCTTATACTGTAGCAGTCTAATAACTAACTTAAGTTAAAATGTATACTTATTATCAAAGTTGTGTCAGTCTTCGTATATCTTTGATACATTCTGCTAGAATACTAAATCCATTTGGGTATAAACTGGGTCTTGTACTTAAATATATCAGTCAGTATATATGTACTACAGCTATAAAGAAGTTTTGGAACCAGAAAGTACACATTCTTCTATTTATATGAATGGGATGTCCTTATTTATAAGGCAATCTTGAACTTGATACCTTTATATTTATGAACATCATAACGCATATTACAACATAACAATCTGGAAGCTACTGTCTCAGCTCTGCATTTGATATTGAAAATATTCGTACTCCTGTATCTTTACCCAATGTCCATATTAGAATGGGAAAACAGATATAGGTATGCTGCTCCTGCTGCTTGGTATTTGTTGCAGACTTATTTGATGTCTTTAACTATTTTTAAAGACTTTAACATGTTGTATGATTTGGTAGATCTTTTTAACTTGTTTGATCTAGAATATTACAACCTGAGACTTACTTTTTGGTATACTCTTGTTGGGACCTGACATGTAATTGTTTGTATCTGTTGTTTGTATCTGTGTGTCTGATTTAATTTGCTGCTGCTGATTTGGCCAGGACACTCTTGTAAGGAAGCAATTTAATCTCAAAAGGGGTTTTCTAGTCAAATATAATGTGAAATTGCACACCACAATGGAACAAGTTAAAGACCCATTTTAAGAAATTATTGTTGTTGTTTAAATGGCTGTATATGTTGCTGGGGTGCACATTTAATGATAGCCTACGTACTTGAGTGTGCTCTCTACTCACCATATCTTTGATCTGTGAGAGAGTGATCTGCAGGGAGACATTGAGGGCTGCGTCCGTGTCTTCCACCGGCCTCAGAGCGTTGGAGTAGTCCTCCATCAGGTCAGTCAGTAGTTTGCGGGCATATTGACCCTGAGCCCCGTGGGACACTGAAGGGCAAGAGGAGAGCAGAAAATGAGGACAACAGAGGTCACAATAGAGAAATGTCAGGAAATTGCAGATCCAAGAGTATTAGAGGTCAGAATTGACTTTATGATATTGGTCAGATATTATCATCAAACACACATGCAGAACTGACCTTGTACCAAAAGGCTGATCCAGAGCATCAGCGCTGTCTTCCTCATTTTCAACTAGTCACAATCCGATGGATCAATTATTCAGCAAAGTAGTCTCTGAGACAGCCCAGGTCCAAATCCAGAGCGTCACTTTATTCTGAACTTCATTCTCCCATGCTGACACTGAGCGAGACCACAGAGAAACTCTCCAAATCTCACATCCTGTCAGAAGCTCTGAATGCTTCGCTAGTTGTTAGTCGCAGTTTTCCTCTCTGTCACTGTCTCTTTGTGTGTGATCGCTGCTCCGGAACAGGACCTGGGGCTAACACACACACACACACACACACACAAACACACACATACACAGGTGTAGTATCACATAGCACACAGGCACTGTGTGAAATGTGATACTGCAGCCCTATACTTGTGTACATGACCACAACCTGCTGTAGTACACACACACACACACACACACACACACACACACACACACACACACACACACACACACACACACACACACACACACAGCTAATGACATCTGTCACTCACACACATTCAGTACTGCGACACTGTCTTAACTTTGGTCAGGTCTGTCAAGACAAACAAACAAACACACACAAACAAACATGTCATGACACATGTCATTCACGCTACATGGCAACGAACAAGATGCAGATCAAGGATCAGGTTTCAGGATTAAGATCATATGTATAAAAAGAGTACAGCTGTATACTAGATGCAGTGATAAGATGGCACCCTCTACATCTGTAGGCTGTTTAAGACCAGCAAATGAAAAACAGAGACAAACTATTCTGCTAGAGCTCCTCAAAATGTAGGTGCACCTTTTTATTGTTGTTAACAATGTTATGTGTCCATCATAAAAGAATACTATGGAAATAGATTTGTATCCTGCTTCATTTTTATGCTTAAAACCTTGTTTGTGTGTTATACTTTTTGTCTTTGATTGAGCAGGCCCCATTTTGGATTGATCTGTGTTTTGAGTAGTGTGTGTGTGTGTGTGTGTGTGTGTGTGTGTGTGTGTGTGTGGCAAATAGCATTCGGAGGCATTATGATTTGACCGCTGTATAATAACTATAAAACTACCCCACTACTTATTTTTATTATTACTACTTATTCCTTGCACCCCTCTTCTAGCATAAGCCCGAATGGTCTAATCCATATTGCATCAGTAACGTGCACTTGTTGTAACAGCAGGATCAGTTTGTGTGTTGAGGACACGACCCGTATATTTTCGCAAGCCGTGTTCTCAACATTTAGCATTTTGCTTATTATTTAATTTGCTTACTTTAACATAATTTTTCATGGTGGGGCTAAGCCATTTCTTGGTATGGCTGTAGCCTACCCCAGCCATACCCTGGTGCTGCCACTGGTGGGATGTATGGGGCGGGCCATTCTGCACATGC